CTCTCCATTTCATCAACAATTATACCGACTCTCTCCCCCTCATCCGCCATGCCCATGGCCTGCTCCTCCCTTGGTTGATTTTCCTCATTTTGCATCGATGGTCCAACAACATCCCCTGCATTGATAGGACCCTCTACATCTTCGGTTTGCATTGAAACATTTATATCTTTCTCTTGTACCGACACAAATATAACGAGGGGCCATGACCGTTCAAAAGCCATTTCCACATACCGTCTCCAAGCAGCAGTGCTGTCCATCGGCATTAGTTCCCAAAAATAACCTTCTGTTGCACGACTCACTACAACTGATACTGACATTGTGTAGACTTCTTGGTCTATTCTAAATCCTCTCAACAACCAACTATAAATTGACTGAAATGTTCTCTCCGCAGGCCTATCGATGCCCTTAGATGTCATTACAAAATCTGACAGATCAACACCATCTGGACCAAATCTAATATTTCCTTCACCGTGAACTATCTGAAATGTGACCTTATTTGACATTGTGCCTGATGAAAACAATAACTGCGTTAACCTCGCATTTCTGTACTACGCCCTAAGTTACATTCTCTACAATATTGTTCTCCAAAATTCTAAAAGTAGGTTACATTCTCCAGATCAAACTAAACTACATCTTACAATTAACACTACTGTCTATGTCTCAATTCATACTATTATATTCTATGCTCTGGATCTACACATATGTGCTGTGTGCTACAGATATGCTAAAATATATGGAACTAAAACTAAAACGCAACATATATACTCAAACATAACATATTAGTACAAATGCAAAAGATGTATGGGAGCAAACCTGTGATGAAGTGAGCGAACCAGCAGGGCTTCGCCGCTCCCCTTCTGCTGCCCTCCCCTCTCTCTCTTTCGTTTTTTTTGGATTTTTAGTGAATATAATGAAATTTCAGAGAGGGGGGACTGGGCTTTATAGGGGGGAGGCAAAAATCGCCCTCCCCCAGGGCGGCAAGGGGGCCGCCTGCAAAATTCCATGCCCCCTCGCCGCCCATTTGCAGGCGGCCCCCCGCACAGTACAAAATCGCCCTAGCGGAGGGCGGCAAGGGGGCCGCCTGCAAATTTCGTTGACGGCCGTCGCCCGAAAGCGAACGGCCGTCTGCCACGTCATTTTCGCCGCCCTCTGGGATGGTGATTTTTAAAAATCGCCCTCCCAGAGGGCGGTAGGCGACTACTTCCGTCAATTTTCAAAATGGAAAACTATTTTTGTAAAACTTTTAATAAAAAAAATTAAAAATAAAAAAAATTCCCAACACGCGCGTCCCCCGCGGCTGGTTGGTGGGCCGGCCCAGTATATACAGCGTCGCGTGGGCTCTCGCAAGCCGTGGGCTCTCTCTCTCTCTCTAGTCCGCTTCTTCCCTGAGTTCTTCGTCTTCCCCAACCTCACGCGCTCTAGCGCGCAATGGCGAGGACGGGGCGGCGCGGGGCGGCGCCGCCGTTGCTGCTGGCGGCGACAACGCCGACGGGGTTCTGCGAGACCAATGGAGTGGACGGTGAGTTGATCTCTCAGCACTCACTACCGGCGAAAAGCAAAAACTGCTTGGCTCTCGGCTAATCCTTGGAGAAATATTCTTGGGGCAGTTGACGCGCTGCGGGGTCTGATGCAGCAATGGAGGAACTACCCGTCGAGCTGGAACTCCGGCGACCCCTGCGGCGGCGGGTGGGACGGCGTCATGTGCAGCAACGGGAGGGTGACATCGCTGTAAGAGCCCAGCTCCTTCTGCTGCTAATCACCATATCACGCGAGATCATTAGAGTTCCGGTCACATCATGACGAAATTTTTTTTATAAGTTAGACCTTTTAAAAATATAATTTTATTAAGAGACCACCCGGAAAAATATTTTCAAAACTAAACCTTTTGACTATGCCAATAGCAGTGGCGTGGCCAAACAGAGTGGCGGCACCAATGGTCATGGCATGGCAAGAGCTGCCCCATGGCGATCGTTGCTGTTGAAATCGTCAACCGGGCGCCAATGTGGCAGTTTTGCCACGCCCGGTACTTGCCACGCCCGGTTTGCTGGCGTGGCAAACTGTTTAAATATTTTAAAGGAAAGTGTCATGGTTAGTTTGTAAAGAAAAGCTGTTTAAAAGTTCATGTGTGGGATTAGTTTGTATTTAAAAAAATAGTACTTGACGAAGCTTGGGGCTCCTCACCGGGAGACCGCACAAGCCCCCCTTTGCCGGTTCGGCCGGGGGCGCTAGGTGAGTTTCTTCACCCTCGATCTGTGGAATGTTCGCGAGAGAGCAAAACGCACGAGACACGGGCGATGTAGACAGGTTCGGGCCGCTGAGAAGCGTAATACCCTACTCCTGTGTTCTGGTGGATCTGTGTGTGAAGGAGTTACAGAGAGTCGGAGAGCAAGAGAGTTCAGGCTCTAGAACCCCTCTTCCTCTTTCTCTCCTCTACGAGCTCAGGTATTCTCAGAGTCGTCTCAGAGTCCTCCCTCCCTTTTTCGTTCTCCATCATCCCTTTTCGGTGGGCAAGGTCCTCCTTTTATATCTCAAGGGGATACCACATGCACCACTTCTACCTACTCTTCTTTTGGGTGGGGACCCACCCTATCTTGACCAAAAACTTGGCTCGCGCCTTCGCCTGGAAGCTAAATCACAGCTTGTCCTTGAGTGAGGCCCAGCGCCGTCACTCGCCTCCACTTCGCCGGAAGTAGATGCAGCGTGGGAGCACGGTTGTCTGCCGATGACGTGACCGGCGTCAGACCAGTCACAGACCGGTCATTCTTGTCCACCACGCGTCAGTTTAGCATGCCGCACATCTGCCCTTCTTCATACAATGACTTCCTTGTAATGGTTGCGATGAAGCCTGGCATGAATCTGGCCGGGACTGACGTGCCAACTCCAGGAGTTAGCACGCCGGCTCCGGCTAGGGACGAGTGCCTGGAGGCTCTCATCATTCCGACGGGACGGGGCGAGGCGTGTGACAGGCCGCCTGTTGCCACCTAACCCGCGATCTGACCGGTGTCACACACTGCGACCGGTCACGGACCGGACGAGCGCGCGCTGCGCTGCATTAAATGCGGCGTGGCGCGCTCGTCCAAGCCGCAATAAATGCAGTTAGGTGAGCCCCGCTGTGCTCACCTAACCCATACACGTGGCGCCAAAATCACAGGGGGTCGGGGCGCCCCTGCCCTCGGGGCCGAAACGGGAGCGGCCCGACCCCTCGGGGAGACAGAGGGAGGGGTGGCCATGTCACCCTCGGGCCCGACCCCCCCGAGGGGGTCAGGCCACGTGGGTGACCGCGGCTGCCCAAGCTTCTAGTCACGATACCCCCGGTCCCATGTCACCGACAGTACTAAATGGGTAAAGATTGGATAAAGTATATGGGGTATTTGTGAGGTATTATTAGAAAACTTCGTGTGGTTTTGATGGACCTGTTTTATGTGTTGAAAATATGAATGGTTATAGGGTGTGTTTGCAAGTGCAGGATGGGAACTCATCCCTCCTGCACGCAAAACGGAGCGGCTTTTTAACACATGATTAATTAAATATTAGCTAATTTTTTTAAAAAAAATGGATTAATTTGATTTTTTTAAGCAACTTTCATATAGAAATTTTTTGCAAAAAACACACCGTTTAATAGTTTAAAAACGTGCGCGCGAAAAACGAGGGAGAGGGGTTGGGAACATGGGTTTGCAAACACAACCATAGTATTGGCGATTCCTTTTCGTTTGAGTAAATTTTACAAAACTACAGGTATTTTGACCAAATTATCACAAAACTACAGATTTAAGGAGTTGTATCATAAAACTACACATTTAGCATCAAATTTATCACAAAACTGCAGATTTTAGGTTAAGTATCACAAAAATACATATTTAATATTGAACTTATCACAAAACTATAACTTTTGGAGTTTAAATCCCTAGCACCATTGTTATGGTGGAGCTATAAACATTATTACTTTGTGATTAAATTGGTTCTAAACCTTTAGTTTTATGATAATTTAGTAACTAAACGTGTAGTTTTGTAACACTTCATCTTTAATATGTAGTTTTGTGCTAAATTTGGTGCTAAATGTGTAATTTTGTGATATAATTCCTTAAATATGTAGTTTTGTGATAGTTTGGTTATAATATCTGTAGTTTTATGAAATTTACTCTTTTCGTTTTCACTGCAATTTGGAATGATGGAATTGACTAGATCCGGCATTACCGATGGGCTGCCGAACGCTGTGATGCGGTTGATCTTGAGCGATCCGGGACGCCACAAGCACCGATGGGTTCTGGGAGTTCATACGGCTGGTGCAGCAGTGTGTCAATAGCAGCCGGGATGTGCGCCCAACCATGGTCGCCGTCGAGAGGAGGATCGAAGACATCCTGAACTCGGTTGTCAGGTCATCCACCACCGGGTTCATGACTGCCGGAGGCGACACACCCAGCAACGAGCCAAATCGTGAAGATAACGGAAACGAGCCAAATCCCAGCAACGAGATCGCCAGGGACTAGTAGTACGTACAGCAGTGGTGATTTGTCATATAGGTGTATATCGGCTGTTTTCGCATCTCAAGGCCTCAAGCAGTGTGTGCAATCTGGAGTAGTATATAAATATGTAAAATGTTCATTTCGATATACTGTCAAATGCGTGTAAATTAACCAATGCTAAAACAACACACTGTGACTAAATTTACTGAGTTGGATGATGAGGATGATTATGTTGCGTGCACACCTGATCAGGAGGACATATAATATAGGCCATTTGGGCCGTCTTGGACACCACCGTTTGATTTGTATGAAGTTGGGCCGAACTATGCAAGCCCAGAGGCGCTGCCTCTGTGCCACGGCCCACGGGCATCGCTGGATGGTCAAGCAGGTGATCGGTGGAGCGCCAATGGCGGCGGCGAGACACACAGCGCGGCGCGCGCGCGAACGTGCGGACGCGCGCGCCCCGGCCACGGCCGCCGCGCTCGTCTCCTGGCCTCCCGCGCCCGCTACAAATGGCGGCCCCGGCGTCCCCTCCTCACTCCGAAGCTTCCCGGTTGACGACCTCTCCGGTCTCCCCCCTCACCCCACCGCAACCCGGGACGTCTTCCATGGCCGCCGCCGCCGCCGCCCCCGCCTACTAAACCACCCTACCCACCCCCTCCAAACTCCCACACATTACATCCTTCAAAGAGAGCATCACACACACACACACACCAGCCTAGCGATCACATTTCCACGATGACGACGACGACGCGAGTGGCGGCCGCCGCCGCCGGCGTGCTGCTGGTGGCGGCGGCGCTGGCCGGCGTGGCGCGCGGCGAGGACCCGTACGTGTTCTTCGAGTGGAAGGTGACGTACGGCACCAAGACCCTCCTGGACGCGCCGCAGAAGGTGATCCTGATCAACGGCGAGTTCCCGGGCCCGCGGATCAACTGCTCGTCCAACAACAACATCGTGGTGAACGTGTTCAACCAGCTGGACGAGCCGCTGCTCTTCACCTGGAACGGGATGCAGCACCGCAAGAACTCGTGGCAGGACGGCCTCGCCGGGACGCAGTGCCCCATCGCGCCGGGCACCAACTACACGTACAAGTGGCAGCCCAAGGACCAGATCGGCAGCTTCTTCTACTTCCCGTCGCTGGGGATGCACCGCGCCGCCGGCGGCTACGGCGGGATCAGCGTCGTCAGCCGCCTGCTCATCCCGGTCCCGTTCGACCCGCCGGCCGACGACCACATGGTGCTCATCGGCGACTGGTACACCAAGGACCACGCCGCCATGGCCAAGATGCTCGACGCCGGCAAGAGCTTCGGCCGCCCGCACGGGGTGGTCATCAACGGCAAGTCCGGCAAGGCCGCCGCCGACCCGCCCATGTTCACCGTCGAGGCCGGCAAGACGTACCGGCTCCGCGTCTGCAACGTCGGCATCAAGGCGTCGCTCAACTTCCGCATCCAGGGCCACGACATGAAGCTGGTGGAGATGGAGGGCTCCCACACGGTGCAGGACATGTACGACTCCCTCGACGTCCACGTCGGCCACTGCCTCTCCGTCCTCGTCGACGCCGACCAGAAGCCCGGCGACTACTACGCGGTGGCGTCCACGCGGTTCATCCACGAGGCCAAGTCGGTGTCAGCCGTCATCCGCTACGCCGGCTCGAGCACGCCGCCGTCGCCGGCCGTGCCGGAGCCGCCGGCGGGATGGGCGTGGTCGATCAACCAGTGGAGGTCGTTCCGGTGGAACCTGACGGCGAGCGCCGCCCGCCCCAACCCGCAGGGGTCCTACCACTACGGCCAGATCAACATCACGCGCACCATCAGGCTCATGGTCTCCCGGGGCCACATCGACGGCAAGCTCAAGTACGGCTTCAATGGCGTCTCCCACGTCGACGCCGAGACGCCGCTCAAGCTCGCCGAGTACTTCAACGTCACCGACGGCGTCTTCAGGTACAACCAGATGACCGACGTGCCGCCCGCCGTCAATGGCCCCCTCCACGTCGTCCCCAACGTCATCACCGCCGAGTTCCGCACCTTCATCGAGATCATCTTCGAGAACCCCGAGAAGAGCATGGACTCCGTCCACCTCGACGGCTACGCCTTCTTCGCCGTCGGGTACGTACATACATCGCCCCCCATTACTACTACCTCCATTAACCTTTTATTAAAGATAGGCTTGGCCATTCATTTTATTTTTAAAAAATTATATAAGTATCATCTATTTTATTGTAATTTGATTTATCGTCAAGTGTGCTTTAAACATAATTTGATTTTTTTTATATTTGCATAAAAAATTGAATATTATGAATGATGTATATGATCTGATACTACTGTTAACTAACTTACTGATGCGCATAATAATAAAATTTTTTAATAAGACGAATGATATAAAAAAAGTTTTTTAAATTACCTCCATTTATAATATACGATGTTTTTTTTACTTTTAACATTCGTTTATAATATATGTTTTTTCACAAACGTTTGAGTTTTGACCATTTATTTTATTTAAAAATAATTATGCAGTTATCATCTATTTTATTGTAATTTTATTGTAATTTGATTATTGTCGAGTGTACTTTAAATACGATTTGATTTTTCTATATTTACATAAAATTTTTAAATAAGATAAATGATGGATACGATCTGATGCTACCGTTGACTGACTGACTGATGGCGCAGGATGGGGCCGGGGAAGTGGTCGGCGGAGGAGAGGAAGACGTACAACCTGCTGGACGGGGTGAGCCGGCACTCGGTCCAGGTGTACCCGAGGTCGTGGACGGCGATCATGCTGACGTTCGACAACGCCGGGATGTGGAACGTGAGGTCCAACATCTGGGAGAGGCACTACCTCGGCGAGCAGCTCTACATCAGCGTCGTCTCGCCGGCGAGGTCGCTCCGGGACGAGTACAACATGCCGGAGAACGCCCTCCGCTGCGGCAAGGTCGTCGGCCTGCCGCTGCCGCCGTCCTACCTCCCGGCCTAATTCATCGATCGATGCATATATGTACTGAACCCGATGACATTCTTCTCTTGTTCTTGACATTTTTTGTGATCTTTTGCTTAATCTGGCGAAATAATCAACTTAATTTGGGCTCGTGCTTATTGCATGTCCCCGCGAAAAGAAGAACAAAAGAGGAGTGGAAACTGAAACGTACGTCCTATGAAGAAGCTGAGCGCCGTCGTCGTCAGCTGGATGTAATTTCGATATGCCCTCTAAAAACCATTGTAATGGTGGAGTTATATTATACATATGATTTCATCGCTCACATATATATATATATATATATATATATATATATATATATATATATATATATATATATATATATATATATATATATATATATATATATATATATATATATACTAGCTACTGATGAGTTAAAAAAACCCCATTTTTTTTTCAAGTGTGATTAATTTATCATTATTTGTCAGTCGATGTTTTTTTCAATCTTACGAATTACGTTTGAAATCGAATGACCTGTAGCTCAAGCCCTACCCATCTACACGATGGGAGTGTTTAAGATGCCGGAACATTTCTGTAATGATTAGTAAATGATATTCGCTTTATCCAAAAAGTGTTAAGCATATTTCATATTTATAGTTTTGATGTGCTAAATTTATTGTCAACGAGAACCTAAGCAACCATCTTAATATATAATTTATTGGTTTGTTACATTGGGGACGAGTTAATTACTTCTTGATTTTGGTGACAAAAAGAAATGTGCCTTATATTTTTGTTAACAACCAAATTTGGTAATATCGGCATCGGAAAAGAAGATTAGATCGAAGTGGAGTCGAAGGCGGAGATCGATTTGAGAACAGAGCAAGAATCGGCTGGAGTCCAGATCGGCTACGATTAGGATCGGCTGGGTCTGAGTCGGACTAGGTAAGCCGATGCAGCCGATTCCGACAATACGACTTGGTGTATGACATCGGGTTGAATTGAGGTGCTTCAAGATAATTGCCGCACATGGATAGAGTCCTGAGAAGGCAATTGTATCTATTAATTAAAATATTTTATGTAATTTCCTTAAAGATATGTTTGGGTAAAAGTCTGTCGCAAAGACTTATGGTATCTTAGATTTTGTTAGAGATAAGAGTCGTGTCCGATATGGACATAGTTTGTAATTTTCGGGTATAAATAGACCCCGAACCCCATGTAATCAATTAACACACACGTTCAATACAATTTCGGCGCATCGCCACCCTTTTGCTTTTGTTTTATTTCGACGAGTTCTTACTTTCGGGTTGAGCTGCATCGGTTTCGATCTTCAACAAGAGGTAAAACTTGTTATGACGGCTTGCGTTCTCGGGATTAGTGCTTACATCTTTATGATACTCTAATCTTGTTTATGTAATTCATCGAGTTATCATATATCTTACATAATCTCTAGCAATATCACCATCTAACCCACAATCGGCTAACATCTGTTAACAGAGGGTAGCCGATTAGGTTAGATATCGACGTTGGTTTAGATTATATAAGATATCTACCACTCTATGAAACTTCAGCGGCTTGATTGTCTAGATATTGTTCTTCTTTTCATACTTAATGCTGTATCAGTTGAGTTTGATCTATTAAGTCATGCTTAGAATATCAATCTCTAGCCTGCCTTCTGGTTACCGATTAGGGTAGTATCGGAGTTTCAGCCGATCTTATCTAATTTAACTATATTTGCTCTATATGCTTCATTGACACGTTAAATCTGCCCTTTATGTCAAGATATTATTGCATCCAAGTATATTAAGCTTCTGTTTGTTATATTCTGCTTGTTTTAACATCTTAATATAGAGTCGTATCGGAGTATTAGCCGATATATGCTAGATCTATCCGATCGGCTATGGTACGAACATATATAGTCCTGTTATTAATATATATTTCGATCTAAGTGATTTATACTGTCTCGGCACGGCGACCGATCTATCCCAATCATTTGATTTAAGTATATATCGATATAATAATTGTATATTGCTAATATCTACAGCCGATCAAGTAGATTTAATTCTTTATTACCTATTTACAAACGCCGATCGATTTACATATGACATCGGCTCAAAGATAAATGATATGTCATCGGCACCTAGCCGATCGGCTATCGTTTATAGATTTAACCGCGGTTTCTTTGTATCTATTTCTTGTTGATTGCAGGATCAAATCAACTGGCACGCTAACACACCCGAAGGCGAGCTTTGGACCTGCACTGGAGTTAAGCAGATCTCCCAGGCCTCGTGTTTTTCGTCAACACGCTTTTGGCACGCCCGGTGGGACAGATTAGGAGTCAGATAAGCAATTTTCTTCATGGCCGAGAAACTACCGCCATCACCGTCCTCGGCTAGCCCAGGATTTGTTAAAGAAAAAATCCAAAAGTTATGTTTCACGGACGTTGATGAAGGGAACATTGTGACCATCAATCCAGAAAAGTTCACACCTGATCAAAAGAAAGATTTTGACGCGATGATGCAGCAAGGTGTTCGCAAATAAAACCGTAGCCTCCTTGTTAGACCGACATGTCATTCTTTTCCCCGGCTTGCTGAGTACGTTAAGTACTCACCCTTGCCCCTTATAATAATCTATAGAGTTTGAAGATGAAGACGTCGACCTGACAGCTGAGGAGTATCTCCAGGAGCAAGTTGAGTATGAAGACTTCTAGATGTTTTGTGCCTAGCCCCAAGCCTCGCCTGTGGAATAAGTTAGTTGCCTAAGTTCTTTGCCTAGTGCGTAGTCGCTTAGTTCTCCGCGCTGTTCGCTTCTGTGCCGTCGATTTTATGGTTCTCTGTAATGCTGTGTTGCTCATATGTGGGCCTGTCCATGATGGCAACGTTTGTAAGGACTACTACCCAGTGATGTAATAAAGCAATTTACTTTGATTCCACATTTATTCTGTGTATACCAGCTAGTGTATCCTGGGACTGGTACTATATCACAGGTAATGCATAACACCCCGGTGTGAGTTTGCTGTGTTTATGGCTAACAAATGTCGGGGCGTTACAGTGAAATGAAAATTTTTTTATGTCACATCGGACGTTTGACTGGATGTCGAAAGGGGTTTTCGGACACGAATGAAAAAACTAATTTCATAACTCGCCTGGAAACCGCGAGATGAATCTTTTGAGCCTAATTAATCCGTCATTAGTACATGTGAATTACTGTAGCACTTATGCCTAATCATGGTCTAATTAGGTTCAAAGATTCGTCTCGCGATTTGCATGCAAACTGTGCAATTATTTTTTCTTTTTATCTATATTTAATGCTCCATATATATGTCCAAAGATTCGATATGATGTTTTTACGAAAAGTTTTTTTGGAACTAAACAGGCCCAAAGAAAACACATGCGATGATAGTGAGGGAAATATATATACCTTCCTCACTGCCTCGCTGACATTCGTCGTCGCATCTGGATCGCGAAAGTAGGTCCACCCACGAGCAGCCATAGTGTTGAGTTCATCGATGTATCTCTCCCAGTCAATGGCAGAACAATGGCAATGCATACGCTTGAACTCTTCATCAGTAAAGTCTGCATATCCGTTAGGGCCATAAGGGATCGTCCTTGGCTCTAGTGCGTTAACCTTGTCTGCCCACAGGGTGGCCTCCTTGAATACTTCGTAGCGGCGAGCCTTCTCCTCCTCAGTGCTGTATGAACGGCCATACTCCTTCATCAAGTCATGGAACCTGGCCTTCATGGTCGCCTCATCGACCTTCACCTCCTGCTTCTTAATGGCTTCTTGGTAGTCTCTCGCCTCCTTAGCAAATGCCTCATCGTCCGGGAGAGTCTTCCCATGTTCGACGTAATTGAGATAGCTAGACCACAGGATCTTGCCATCTTTGTCCACGAACCCTGCCTCGATTGCTGCTTCCTTGCTCAGGTAAGGCTCCTTGCCGGCGTCCTGGGCAGCTGGTAACTTCTTCGTGACTTCCTCCTTATCCTCCTCCCTAGCTACAGGTTATGTACAGATAGTGGTAGTGGCTATGGTTAAGTTACATGGATCAGAGCTAAATATTCCCTTTGTTTCATATCATAAGACCCTTTAAGTTTGATCAAGTTTATAAAAAAAATATAGTAGTATTTTTAACACAAAATAAATATATTATTAAAATATATTTAATGTTAGATTTAATGAAATCAATTTGATACTTTAAATATTTCTAAATTTTTCTATAAACTTTATCAAACTTGTTAAGTTTGACTAGGAAAAAATTACTAACAAACAATGAGAAATCTTGGCCTTTTCAGGATTCAGATTGGATGACATATGGTAGGCATGTCACAAGGTGACATAGCTCAGATCTCAGCCCTCCAAAACAAATCCAACGGCTGAGATTCGTCCACGTCATCACGAGTTAAAATTTAACTCGTAGGAGTAAAAATTTTACTTGGAGTCAAATTTTATTGGAGTTAAATTTTAACTCGTGATGACGTGGACGAATCTCAGCTGTTGGATTTATTTTGGAGGGCTGAGATCTACGCTATATCACCTTTAACATGCTTATCCTATGTCACCATCTGAATCCGCTTTTTCAATTCATACCTCCTGACTTGTCAGTGTTTTGCTTGAAACACAGAATTGTGGCCGCCAATCCAACCAATGAAGCCGTGGCTACAACAACAGAGCCACCACCAACGGCGAAACCCATCTGTATCGCGTAACGAGATGAGAGACATATGAGCTGCGAGTGAACAAAAGAAAAGATTTTCGATTTGAGAACCGGGTGAGATGAGAGACGAACGGAGTGGAAAGAGTGAGCTGCTGGCCTCCCCGCCCGAGTGAGGATACCCAGCGAGGACTCCGCCTGCGCACGGGGGATCCCGCGTGGCGAGAACCCCCTCCGGCTTCGGGTGAGAAGGTAACCGATGGCCCGGAGCGACATGGCCGCGACCGGAGAAGCTCCCCTTCTTCCTCCTCCTCCGCCCGCCTCCAATCTCGCCTAGTCGCCGAGATTCGATTCTAGGGTTTTCTCTCTCGTGACTTCCCTTCCCGATCGACGTACGCACACTACAGTTACGGCCCAGTTTGTAAGGCCCGCATATAGATCCCAGCCCAATAGGGCTCAACTATAATGGGCCCGTTCCAATCGAACGAGTACCACGCGTGCGTGTGGGCCCTGTCGTCGAGAACCACCGTCACTACCTGCACCTGCACGGGCCCGATAATAATAATAAAAAAGAAAAAGGAAAAAAAAAAGAGAAAAATCCAACTAGGCGGAGCCATTCGCCCCGCACGAACTCCGAGGCGCACGACCAAATGCGCGCCGCCGCCGCCGGCCGCAGCGTCCGCCTCCTCTAGGAGCGACGGCCACCACCGCCGTATGAGCCTGTAGCCCGGCGCCGAGGTCCGCGAGCTTTTGCTTTGGGGGGTGGGAGCTAAGCTTTGCTCCCCCCTGTGCGTGCGGGCGGGGGGGAGCGGGGATGAAGGGCCAGGGTGGCGGCGCGGGGGCCCCGGCGAAGAGGCGGTGGAGGAGCGTGGCGGCCGCGGCCGCCGCGCTGGCGCTGCTGTTCCTCTCCGTCGGCGTGCCGCTCGCCGTGCTGCTCGGCCTCCACCAGCGCTTCCCGTCCAGTCCGTAACCACCCACCCCTCTCTCCCCTGCCAAAACCCTACTTTTCTCTTCAGCCTCTCCGCTCCCAGATCTGGGCTTCCCGTCCGGCTCGCCGGCTCGCGCTCGATCTAGGGGCTCATCAACTCTCTCTCTATGCTCCCCTGACTCGATTTTGTTTGTATTTGTTTTGTCTTTTGATATCACAGTGTATTTGGCCGACGAGAGCGCCGTGTCGGTGAGTGTCAATTGAGATTGAAACTAACTAGTAGCTCATGCTTAAGCCATTTGATTTGTTTAATCCATTGCTGTTAAGATTTTTGCCTCATGTTTCTGTTGCACAGGTGTTTGGCGGCAGCGAGGGTGGTGGTTGGGAGCCAAATACATCGCAGGTAGGGGGTGTGCTCATGATTGCCATTTCTGGGATATTTTTGTTCTATTACCTGAAATGTTCCAATCACATGGGGGTGTGGTTAGGTGTATTTATCCTAATTAGGTTTGGTCAATGATGACTGATGGGGTACTACTGCGGGAAGAGAATTTAATCTTTAGATCAGTGATGCATTTTTTTTTCGCAGGAAAATGACAGGCTGCCAGTCAACGACACGAACAAATTTCCGCCATCGATTGAAAAGGTTTGCATTTGAGCCCATCGGCCGCAGCTGTTTCTTCTCTTTGTTCATGCGTGAAATTTTATCCAAGTAGAGTGCTTGTTGTGAGTTGCTATCGTGCCGATTGTGGTCTCATGGGTAGTGTTTGAGTGGAATTGCCTTTTAATACATGGTCCATGGCCCCATTTTTTTGGAAATGTCAGTCTGCTTTTGCCATATCATGGATCTTGTTTCACATGGCCCTCTTTTGCATTTCTACTGCAATCAAGGCACTGTTTCTTTCCTTTTGGCATGTAAGAGGCTCAGAGCTGAATGGGGTTTTGAACTTACTAACTGTTTGTCACTATGTCCCAAAAATTGCATTGCATCATCTGAAAATCTTGTCTATCTACCGAAACATGCAATTTTTTTTTGCGTTACCTAATTGATTTAGTTGTTCGTTCACAGGACTGGAGCAAAACAAATACCGGTAATTCTGATGCAGAAAGCAATGGGACCAACAATCAACCAAGTATTGACAAACCGATTAGCAATACCTCAATCCATCCAGGTAAGCAGGGCCCATTCTTTGACCACTTATTTAGTTTTAAAATTTTAAATATCAAGTTACAGCTTTAATTCTTCTTGTAATGTGCAGGCCTTCCTATCAAACAAATCGTGATCTTTGATGATATATCATTACTGAGTGTAAGAGCTAATATGCTTTACAGTTATTTTTAACATGCCCTTGTCTGTTCGTGCAGTAAATATATATGCTGCTTTCGCATGAATTTCTGAGCAGGGCATGTGATATGCACCTTGCTTTTGCAATATTTTAAAGAAACATTTCAATAATCCTTTGTAACTTGTTTGCGGACTTGCAGAATTATCATATATTACATACTTTTTATTTTTCACCTAATGTTGCAGAATACTGATGCTGATCCTAAGGACAATTTTGAACAAGGTTTACCTGGTGATGAGAGTATAAAATCGTGCCAACTAGAATTTGGAAGCTATTGTGTTTGGTCTGTTGAACACAAGGAAGTGATGAAAGATTCTGTAGTGAAGAGACTTAAAGACCAGCTCTTTGTTGCAAGAGCTTACTATCCAAGCATAGCAAAACTTGAGGGGATGGAAAAACTTTCACATGAAATGAAGCAAAGTATCCAAGAGCATGAGCACATGCTCAGCGAAGCCATATGTGATGCTGATCTTCCTGCATTGTAAGTAATCTTCCAGAAATACTTTCTTTAGTTCTCATTTTTAAGCTATCATCTTTAATCCATAAGGCACTGCTAACTTCAGAAATTGATATTTTACCATACATGAAACTGTTGGGTATTTAAGCAGCCTGACTTTGCACCAAAAATGGTCTACCTACTAACTGTTGTGCTTCACTGTTTGTTTTTTATTTTCACAGATTTTGATATCCACTGTCGTCTAATATGCACGTATACAAGATAACTTATGCATAATTGACAGCCTACAGTTGATTGAGCATTACCTGAATGATTCCTTAGGATTATCTCTTTCATCACCTAGCATGTTCGTAGTCCTTATTATTTTGTGAAATGTATTAACACTCTGTAGTTTGATCGAATAACATTGTATTAAGCTAAAAGTGTGATATTGGGATGAATAATTTACCAATAATTGTAGCAGTAAGTTCTAAATGATGAGTGGACTGATGATCTGATGGCTCAATGTGTTATACAGATTCACTTTGGAACAGAAAATTTCCCCATAGGTTTAGAGTTTGCTATAATGATTATTTGTTTTGTTATAGTGATTATTTGTTATTTTTGAAGCCATGGAGCCAATATGGCAAAGATGGAGAAGACAATAGCTGCAGCAAAATCATGTCTGATAGAATGCACTAATTTTGAGAAAAAACTGAGGCAATTGCTTGATATGACTGAGGATGAAGCTCATTTTCATGCAAGACAAGGTGCATATCTTTACCGGCTTGGAGTTCAGACATTACCTAAGAGCCTCCACTGCCTTTCAATGAGATTGACAGTAGACTACTTTAAATCCTTTGCTGACATGGAGTACTCCAATGTGCAAAAGCTTGAAAATCCAGTTCTCCGGCACTATGTTATTTTCTCTACCAACCTTCTTGCATCTTCCATGACTGTCAACTCGACTGTGATAAATTCTGAGGTATGATATTACTTTTGTTGTGTAGACCATGTGGTCTCTTGAAATTTCTGCATCATGACACTCACCAGTTCTTTTCAGTGTTTCAGGAATCAGCAAATGTGGTTTTTCATCTTGTTACTGATGCACAGAACTTTTATGCATTTAAGAATTGGTTCATTAGAAATTCTTACAAGGAAGCCACTATCGGTGTTCTGAATTTTGAAGATTTCCAAGCAACACATTTGGATAATAGGAGAGTTGAACACTTATCACCATATGAGGAGTTCCGCATCGCTTCCCATAGCAATGCCCGAATTCCAAATACCCAAATGAGAACTGAATATATTTCAGTGTTTGGACACTCTCTTTTCTTGCTTCCTGAGCTGTTTAGCAATCTTAAACGGGTGATTGTTTTGGAAGATGATACTATAGTCCAGAGAGACTTGTCACACATATGGAATCTTGATTTGAAAGGAAAAGTGATTGGTGCTGTACAGTCTTGTCGAGTTAGATTAAGGCATCTCAGACCATACTTGGTTGACTTCCCATATGATGCTAGTTCATGTATCTGGATGTCTGGAGTGAGTGTTATTGATCTCAATAAATGGAGGGAGCATGATGTGACTGCAGTTCGTAATCGAGTACTCCAAAAGGTTAGTATTGAATAGTGATGCTTAGCAGCTGTCTTTTCTTCTCTCTTTCAAGAATTGTTTTTAAGAAACTACTTTCGATGTTATATTTGACATAAGGCATATTCCTCATGGCTATACTCTTGATTTTCTGTTTGTGTTCAACTGAACTTACCCTACTGTACCGTGATCTTCACTAATAAGATAAACTTGCTTGAAGCCTTGAAGTTTATTTAAGATATGTATTTTTTTTCTTGCACGTTTGGCCTGTTAAGCGAAGAGCTGCAAATTCTTAACTGATACGGTTGTGCCTATGTCTCACTTTTGACAGCTGCAACATGGCCCTGAAGCGTCATGGAGAGCTGCGGTGTTACCTGCAGGCCTGCTTGCTTTTCAAAATCTGGTCCATCCTATTGAAGCACAGTGGATCCAGTCTGGTCTTGGTCATGACTATGGAGTCAATCATGGTGCTATAAAGAAAGCTGGCATATTGCACTACAACGGCAACATGAAACCGTGGTTAGAACTCGGCATACGGCGATACAGGAAATATTGGAGAAGGTACCTGCCAAGGGATGATCCATTCTTGATAGATTGCAATGTGAATCCATGAACAAGGCAATTTTGTTAGTCCTGGAGTCCGGAAGTCCATGTTCGACGAACAGCACCACCTTGTGCGATAGCGAGAGTTCACTGTATGCGGGAAATTTGATGAGAGGAGAGGGGCTTCAGTGAGCACCGCCCAAACTACTGAGGATCTTTCAGGATGCTGCTGAGATATGAAGTAAAATTGATTTTTTTTTGCAAACTGGTCGTCTACCGTGGTATGTTGAGTAGTAGTTCCATTTGTTCATTGATCAATGTACAGTGAGGATTGGACAGATGCTGATTCGTACACCAGCATCACAAAATGGGTGAGGGTGTTGTAGTTTAGGAGAGCCTTTTGGGGCTTGTAGATTCAGTAGATTAGGATCATGGGGCATTAACCCAAAAAAAATACTGCATATATTCTGTGCCCGTTCTGTTGAAACCATGCTTGGAATTCGTTGACTTTGATAGTACTCATACCCTTGCAATGGTGCAATATTCATCATCTTTCTCTAAATGACCATCAAGATCCATAGCTCATCTTATTTCCTGAAGTCTTTGATGCAACTATCCAACTCAGGCCGTTCTTCATTTCTTGGGGCTGCAATTAGAGGTTAAAAAAAGACTAATGGTTTTTATTAAATACTAATGTATAGTTTGATTCGGGATGATGATTGGCAGTAGAGTAGGGGGAATTTGAATTGGAAGTGATTGATATGATAAGTAGTACTACAAAGTGATAAATAGTACTCTCTTCTTCCCTAAATATAAGAGATTTTGATTGGATGTGACACATCTTAGTATAAGAAAGTTGTCCACATTCATTGTACTAGGATATGTCACATAACCAAAATATCTTGTATTTAGAGACGGACAAAATATCTTGTATTTAGAGACGGAGGGAGTGTAGTGTAAACATTCTTCTTTAGATGCACTATATTATACTCAGTGCAGTAAAAAAATTGTATACTTGATGTAGAATTGTGGATACAAGCATATATAAGGATAAATATACCCGAGCTGGCAACTGACGAGTTGGCCCAGGAGCCACAGTAGTAGTAGTACAATACATTGCATATGTGACTATTCCTACGTGGGCCCACTTGCAAGAGACCAGTCTGGCTTTGGCACGCACGGGTGATTAGCTTAGTGCTTAATCACCATGTACTTTGTGCTAATCAAAAGGGATTAAAACTAGCTTCGATTAAGCACGCGCGTGAGGCGGGGAGCACCACGTCCACGCGGACACCGCGTAGAGCGGCGTGCCCTTCCACCCCAGCCGCACCGTGCCGTCGTGGTCTCCCGCCACCGTGTAGCCCAGCCCGCCCGGACACGCCGCGGCCACCAGCTGCGCGCGCCCGCCGCCGCCGCCGCCGGCGTGCGCGAACCCGTGCCGGGCGAGCACCTCCCGCCAGCTCCCGGGCCCCTCCCGGCCGCTGCTCCGCGCCGGCCCGCCGACGGCGAGCACGTTCGCGATCTCCCTGCCGAGCACGCCGTGCTCCGCCAGATGCCTGCTCGCGTCCTCGCCGTCCGGCCGCGACGCGCCCATGGCGTCGAACACCGCCGAGTAGTGGTGCAGCGCGGAGACGAACCTGTCCAGGAAGCGCCCGTGGCCGCCGCCGCCGCCGTGTGCTCTCTCCTGCTCCACGAGCGTCACCGCCGCCGGCTCCAGCCACCGCACCAGCCGCATGGAGGCGCCGTCGTCGCCGGCCGCGTCGTACATGGCGTGGCGCAGCCAGTGCACGGCCACCGCCTCCCCCGGCCTCCTTCCGGGCATGTCGGCGACCGCGTCGGCGTCTCCCGGTCGCTTCGCGACGGCGTAGAACTCGAAAAACATGCACAGCTTCCTCGCCAGCCCGGCGAGCTGGTTGCCGGTGTCGTGCAGCACCGACGCCGACATGCCGAAGCCGGTGACGCGGATCACCGGCGGGCCTCCCGGCCGCGCCGCCAGTGCCGGGAGGAGCGAGAGCCACTGCAGCGCGCCGCCGGGGACGACGTCGAGGTCGACAATGTGGACGAGGCGCTTGCCGTGGAACGCCTCGAGGATGGCCTGGTTGCACGCCAGGTAGGCGAGCCGCGCGAACGGCGCGACGTTGTACAGCGCCCGGAACGCGGCGTTGATGGCCCCGCACGACGGCGGCGGCGCCATGGGCGCCACGACGCCGACCCACGACCCCACCAGCCGCGCCGCCATGGCCCTGGCGAAGTAGGCCACGAGCCGCTCGCCGCACGACGCCGCGTACGGCGAGGCCATCTGCGACAGCTCGAGCAGCGCCCCGTTGGCGCCCGCGAGGTTGCCCACCGACATCGCCGCCGCGCACTCCATCAGCAGCGCGATCATCCGCACGCCGTGAGCCTCCTCCTCATCCTCCACCGCCACCTGTTCGACGTCGGCCCCCGCCATCGCCACGCCCGTCCTCTCCTCCGCCGCGCCGCCTTCCTCGGAGTACACCTCCTTGCACGCTCCTAACTCCGGCCGTTGCTCGAACGTCCCGGCCGCCGCCGCCGCCGCCGGCGGCTCGACGAACTCCGGCGAGTCGTCCTCGCCGGCGCAACCCTCATTGGCTTCAAGAAATCGGTGGTGATGGGACAACAAAGGCTGCTGCAGTGGCAGGTTGCTGCTACTGCTGCTGTATAGATACTGGTGATGATCAAGAAACTGCATCAAGCCTAGAGAATCTTGCATGTCTGAACCTCTTCCCGTCATAAGTTGATTTATCAAGGATCAATCAATCAAGTAGGGTTTCTGCATAGCTGAAGATGAGTGGAGCAAGAGAAAGCAATGTGCTTATATATACTCCCTCCGTCTCACAAAAAACAAACCTAACTGGATGTGACATCTCCAGATTCATTGTACTAGCTAGAATACATCACATTCAGTACTAGGTTTGTATTTTGTGGGACGAAAGGAGTACTTTTTGTGGCAACCAGCAGAGGCTGCTTGCTTGTTTATTATCAACCGCAATCAAATTTTAAATTTTAAAACTTAATTTTAGAATATTAGCTGTAGCTCAAATAAAATGTTTCCATTACCTTAAAATAACTATAGTGTGTGCAAACTCCGTAGTATCCAATACGTAACTTAAAATATTGAATAGGGAGGATATCTAGTCCTCTGTCTTTTCCGAATTTTTTCATAACTATTTATGTACTTTACAATTGGAAAGAGATTAGAGCGCCCTAGTTATCATTTGAGTAGTATTACTAGGTCAACCTGGAAGCTAGTGGCAGTGTGAGAGCAATCTACACGGCAGGAATCTGCGAAACATCAATCTGATGATTCTTTGGCTGTATTCAGATTGGCCAGTGTAAGCTTGGCCGGTACAATGAGCCAGCAGAGCTGCATGGTTTTGGTAAGAGTCTTTGGTAATTGGTTAATTAGCTCATAGTTTCACTGAATATTTAAGCAGCTAATGATCATCCTGATCACATGTGTACATCAATCCGGTATTTTCCAGAAAATTCAGAGGTAAATTTATTGGAGCAAAGCAATTCTGCATCTCTCTACTAGTATCCAACAAAGCTCCTGCAATAACAGTTAAGCTCGACATTGACACTTCAGATTACAAGATTGATTGATGAACAAGTCATTCTGATGTGTAATCTTGCTAAGGAGAGAAAAAAACTGGGTAGGATGTTAACTCCTAAGAGGTTTCAGAGTACTGACATTTGACGATTGCGATGCGTAATTTTCTTTGCTTTTCTCAAGGAAAACCGAAACCGAGCTACTAGAACCCCTAAGAATTAATCGAAGTCATCACATTTCATGATTGTGATGTGTAATTGAGAAATGAGTAAGAAAATAGCTTTGAAGCAGTAGCTTCTTCCTAATGGCGAGCTGATAGATCACTTGGTGATCATCGCTAGTTGAGGACGAGTCGACGAGGAGCTAGGCTGCGCTTGCAGGCAGCGAATCAATGGCTGGCGATATCATCAACCAATTTGGCCAGTTAGCTTGCTTAATTCTTCAGCTACTAATTGAGTAATTGGCCGGACTAATTGGCATCAAGCAGCAGAATTCCAGCATCAATCTGCCGGTGCCTCCACATGTCAAACTCATCGTTTCCTATGTGCTATTACACACTGAACTCATAGTAGTTTGCTACATGTTTAATTGTGGTCTGTTAATTTGACCTGGTATTGTTACAAGGCCATGCGAACATATTTATATATGTATATATCCTGCTAATTAATTCAGGCTGACAAGGCCATGCGTAGATGTACCGTGCTAATTAATTCAGGATATATGCATCATCGATCGATGACAATGTAATTAAACTACGTATATATACTGAAGCTGATGATGCCTACCGCTTGCCTTTGTCTGCACTTACATGGACGCATCCAGGAGATATTGCAGAGACAAACCTGGCAAACAGACGACGATCAGGACCAAAATCCAAGTGATTAGTGACTGATTTTGCATTTCTTTTAGATAATACTCCCTCCATTTTAGGTTATAAGATGTTTTGAGTCAAAGTCAAATTGATTCAAGTTTGACTAAGTTTATAGAAATAAAATAGTAATATTTTCGACCCAAGATAAATTTATTATAAAAATATATTTAATTATTAATTTAATAAAACTAATTTGGTAATGTAAATTTACTATATTTGTCTATAAACTTAGTTAAATTTAAAGCAGTTTAACTTTGACTAAAGGCAAAATATATTATAACCTGAAACAGAGAGATTATAAATGTATTACATCTTGGCCTATTCCATAATACACGGTCAATGAGTCTTTAAAAGAACAAAGAAAAAGAGTGTGGGACATATCTACTCTTAAGTAACAGATTTTGTACGCACGAGTGGTTTTCAAATAATCAATTGATTGATTACAGTTTAGTTAATCATCAAACAAGCAAGCTAGTAAGCATTTGGCTTCCAGACAGCGTTGCATCTCCTTTTACCCAAGTCCTAATCTGTCTTGACGCATTGACTTCGGTTGGCGCTGGACATGGCCTTGACCATCCCCTTGCAGATCTTCCGGAACCAGAGGAGGTTCATCGCCGACATCGCCGGCGGCACCGCCATCATACTGTAGAACCCTAGCGGGAACACCGTCCTCACCTGCAAATTAATCGAACAGCCAGGAACTAATTTAACAACAGACTGTCACAAAGCTGAACCCTGAAGAGAAGACGATTGGTTGATTATGATTACCTGGTCGAAGTGAAGGTACACATGAGCGAAGAAGTATACGAACAGTATGACGCGAGCAACCTGCATACAAGAACAAGAAGATCAGTATCACTTGGAGTATAAGTGAATTGTTAGTTTTTTTTCATCATTTTAATATTTGGGTTGAATTGGTAGTTATATGCAACTCAATAAGGTATCGTTAGTTTAAAAAAAAAAACTCAATAAGGTATCGGAGCTACAAGTCTCAAGTTCAAATCTTGTCGGACGCACACTTAAATAAATAATTGCAGCTTCCATTCCATGTCTGAGCACTCAAAAAAATTCAGGCATGTTTTGTTTTTGTTGTTATTTACTATCGGCTTAGTCTTTTATATGAAAATTCAATTCTGTTTTTTTTGTTGTTTACTTATTGGCAGTCCTTTAGATGAAAATTCAGGCGTGTTTTTTGATGAACAAAAGATGAATTGGTTGGTGCATGGAAACATTTACAAAGAGAAATTATACCAGCCATCCAGCAAACAGTGCCACCCCGTTGTACAGGTAAAGCTTGGAGTCCTTCCGGCCTGCAAGATCAAGGTACCTGCATTTTCAGAAAGAATGCATGAATAATTGTGATCTCAGACATGAACAAGCAAGATGATTAATGAGCAATTTGGGAAAACTGAATGAGTATTACCATCTGAGGTTCACGAAGGGTGTGGTTGCTTCAGTGATGAGGACCATGAGGATGTACACGTGTCCTTTGCCACTCAACAGAGCAAGAGAGATTGCATACATGGACAATCCATGATGCAAGAGCTGAACATATCAATACAATCAGAATAGATTGTTAACTTGTGTCACCTCAAATTGTAGTAAAAGAAAAAGGGACAACTCAGAACATTAACACTTACATATTCCTTTCCTCCTAGAGAAGGGAAATGCCAGAGGATCATCAACAAATCTGTCAAGAAGTAGCCCAGGGATACCTGCCAATAATTAAAATTTCAGACATTTTGGGACAGATATCTTTCTCTCTTTTCTCCATGGTTTCCTGGATGCGTAGGGCTGCAAACTTACACCAAACATGGCATCAGACATCCATGATTTTCGATCAATTATGATGGCACCATGGACGTCCTTACTGAAGAGGTCAGATATCACCAGCAGATAAAAAGAGACTACAGCAGCAACTAATGCGTGGAAGGTAGAGAATCCCCTAAAACATGGATAAACGAGTTGTAATTACTAGCATGAAGAGAAGTGAATATGCATCGCTACTGTTAGTTGATTTTTAGATAATACTGCAATTAGTCGATAATAAGAACCTGTCAAAGATTTATTGAAAAAGACCTGTCAAAGAAAAAGAAAGAGAAAAACAAGCAAGCTCCAATTAATCACCTGTTGTTCCACTCAAGTTTGTGCAATTCATTCAGTCCATTATAACCCTTGTAGCACCGGGAGCTAACTTCACGAGTTATATCATATACCTATAAGAATGGAGTAGAAGCTAGTCAGTGCCTCAGTGGCATAATACAAAATATAATGCAGAATGAATTCATCATGTAGGCTCAGGAACAATTGATCCCTCCTCTTTTTTTCCCTATGTTTTCTTGTTACCATTTACCATGCATGTACTTCTCAAGCTACCTACCTAGCCTTTTGACAAGTAAAAAAAAAATGAAAAAGGTAATCTGGTATATCTCTTCACATACTAATCCGTATTGGTGATGGAGGAATTCACAAATTATAAAGGTAATCTGGTCCTTAAGCATTATTGACGGCACGATTCCGTTGGCTACCTCCTCGACTGTGTGGTACTAAATGCTGACATAAGTAGTCTTCAAAATTGAAAAGGAGTAGTGATTCATAATTCACTCATATTCAGTAAAAAAAAGTAATAATTCATTCATATTTTTAACACCATGTATCACCCAAGTAGCAACTCCTTCCATTCCCGAATATTTTAAAAAATGTTAGATTCTCTTATGATGGAAAATTGTGTGATTATATTTTTCACATAAGGTAATTTGATAATATAATATATTTTGAATTGTTTTATAAATTAATTAACGGAAAAAGATTAGTCAAAGTTTGATTGTGAATAGTGTTTGGTGACAAGTTTTTGGGAACGGAGGGAGTATCAAGGCTAGATTGCATTCAACAAACGTCTACGAGTCCAACTAAGCTGTCACTATTAGTTGCTTTGCTCTCTGCAGAAGTTAGGTTCAGTACTTGTAATGGCTGGTCTGCATACATTGCAAGAGTTTTTACAGTCGAATAATACTATTCTTCCTACATTAAAAAAAGAAGAAGAAGAAAAGGTGGGACGTTCCAAGCAGAAAGACTGAGCTATGGAAGTCAAGTGCAGATTGATGGTGATACTTTGCCCTTTTTGGATCTCAAAAGTTGGATGATAGAAATGCATAAATTAATATCAGTACTGAGGAACATTTCACAAATTTTCTTTTTATAACGAAAAACCGAAACCTGATTTAGTAGTTCGACCTCTAAAAAGGTAAATACAAGATGGGATTGCTCATCTCACTAGAGAAAATACACTTTAGGCAGTTTAGCTTTACCGTGAAGATGCAAATTTGTAGCAAAATTTTAGGGCTATTTTGTAACGCACGATTAAAAAAAAGGAGAAATAGAAAAAACACACATGATTGCAAAACAGGTTGTTTGATTAGGCAGTAGGAGATAAAAGAAATATAGTCAAAGGAAATTTTCAAAAAAGTTGGAGCTCTTTTTAATTTTTCTAAATCTCTATAATATTGTCCATTTCGTAGGATTTTTTTTTTTAAAAAAGATTGATTTCAAAGGCCTTCATAGGAATTTCTTCAATTTCTTTTGTACAATATTGAAATCCTCTAAGTATCTTATGTTTCCTCTACAAATCAAAGTAGGACTTACTGGGAATGCACTCTCGTATCTAGCTAAGCAATGGAAGAGATCGATGGAACAACTTACCGCTGCGCACATGAGGATCCCAGCAAGAACAGAAGCCGGCCACACGATCTGCTCCTCGGGCCCAAACCTCACATCCATGTCCACCGCTGCCAAATCACTCTGCCCTTCGATCTCCTCCTTCCTCGATCTCGGCGGCTGGCCGTTCGGTCGAGACGATGAAAAGCTCCCCAAATCAACAGAAGCCAGAGGATCCAATCCTTGCAGCAAGCGTTTGCAAGTCCTCGAAGAGAGGCGCCCCGGGCTTAAATGGGCAGAGCTCGATCGCCATGGATGGGAGTCGTGCGCGGCGACGGTGACCGAGGGAGACGGTGGACGACGAAGCGAGCTAACCGATTGAGTCGTCCGCGTACAACACCCTCTCTTCGTTTTTTTTTCTCCTTCCTTCAAAAAATCTTCTCGCGTCAGCCGCCGTCGCGCCGGACCGATCGACAACTTAGACCTGACTCCACTGGGTCCCTTGACTGGTCTATAATACTGTTTTTTTTTTTTTTACCAACGGCTACAACGAATGTCAATGGGAAAATATATAGTGCAAACCATACACACACACACACACATATATATATATATATATATATATATATATATATATATATATATATATATATTCGAAATCTAGAAAACTGCCTTTGAATTTAAATATGAACGTCTAAGATTTATTCATGTCACCAAACAATAAAAATTTTACTCGCAAATTCAATCATGAGTAAAAATGTTGGGAGTAAAATTTTTACCCTTGATGATATGGACAAATATCGGGCCTTCATTTTTTAATCCAACGATAGTTTCTAGGTTTTCACCACATATATAATTTGTACTTCCTCCATTTCAAGTTATAAGTCGTTTTGACTTTGGTTAAAGTCAAAATGTTTCAAGTTTTATCAAATTTGTAGAAAAAAAGAGTAACATTTTCAACCCGAAACAAATTTATTTTGAAAATATAATCAATTATTGATTTGATGAAACTAATTTGGTATTGTAAATATTATTATATTTATCTATAAACTTAGTCAAACTTAAAGTAGTTTGACTTTGACCAAAGTTAAACGACTTATCTATACTAATATAAAAAGGAGGAGTTGTACCCCTCCAATCCTACATGCCAAATCACCCGGATCAATCCCTACCGTCCGTCCGTCATCTAATCTAATCTCATCCATCCATCCGGTGAAATCACCCAGACCGCATCTAATCCATCCATCGTCCATCGCCCGCGCAATCCCCGCCACCACATCCTCCCCACGCTAACAGAGGCACCGCGCGAACAACACATCTGCCCTATGCGCTCACTATGCTGTCACACCCTAATCCGGCACCGCCGTACAACGGCACCTGACAGGAGCGTGTCGTAGGAATAACGGCGCGAACCACTTCCTACGAAACCGCGATCTCAGTACCAGTCCCAGGACATAGTGCTGGTACCCACGGTGACAAATATGAATCATTGCAAATCCTTAAAATAAATAGAGGACTTATTTACCTTAACTTAGGTTGCAGCTCAAGACAGCCTGAGAATACAACCGAAGACACAGACGAGGAAACACCAGCAACAGCAGCAGCAGCGGAACCAACGGTCTAACACCCAACACCACAGGCGACAGCTGGGAACCAGGACGAAACCCTAATCTTCACTTCACTTCATCTTTACTTCAAGGCGGAGGAACTATATATATTTATATAGAGCAAGGTGAGTACTTTCATACTCAGCAAGTCACGGGGACTTAGGTGTTTAATGCAAGCTTAGAAGAGAGGCAAGGTTGTTTTGTAAATCCTTTGTTTGAAATCATTTTTGAAATCACTAAGTGATTTATTTCTTTTTAAGTTTGGGTCGAAAAGGAGACTTGCGTCTCGATTCGACTTAAGAGATGCTTTTCAACAACTCAAATGGCAATGTATCGACCCCCCGAGTCAGATCATTACTTATCGGCTTCCAGAGCCATTTCACTTGATTAGGCGGCTCCCAGAGCCTTTTTCATTTTCTCGGACTCCCAGAGTCCAGCTGCCCAGCAGCAAAGCAATCCGCTTCCACTCGGGAAGCCTAGTCTATGATGCCCGCAGACATCCCGAATCACACAGATTCGTTTCTGACCACTCAGGTCATCCATCTGCCACATAGGCTGATTCTGGTTACGATTCCCAATCCACAACAACTTTTCACAAAGTACAGGCAAACAAATCTACGCAACGGGAACCACCTCACACCCGCCCATGACCGTGGGTACGGCTGTTCGAACAGTTAGTTAACCTCTGCAGAGGGGTACACTTTACCCACAAGATACGAACTTACTCCAGACACTGGCCGGTGTCAGAGGCTCGCGACAAAGCCTTTCCCAAGCCGACCCAGGGTTACCTCATGCCACATAGAAGGATCAAATCCTCACATAAATATAGGCCATTTTAGTTTTCACAAATCAAACTCCAACCACCTCGATCGGTAATTCAGCAAGCTTCTCTTCCTTGCTTACCAGGAACCCGGTTTGGCTCCAACCGACCCCGCCCTGGCGTTCCCAACTATTGGCATGCGAGGTTTCCCTGAACCGACTAGTTACTTAGCCAGGGTGTCCCATTCCACCTTGTGGTTGCACTTTGATTATGCTCGATGCGTTTCCCACAGGAATCGGTCCTTATATGCGAATACGGGACAGTGCCACATAGGCACAACCCCCGCATCGCGAGTTTTCACAATTCATTTTATTTTTAAACACACCGACACCACATGTCGGGTTTTCAAGGCTTTACAAACCCATTTCCCAAGTTTTCGATAAACAACGGTGTATGTGGGATATTTGGTATACGCGCTCAGAGAGCACGGATACCGTGGTACCACAAAGGTGGAGCGATAAGGAGTCAGGGTAGTACAGCCTACAGGAATTAGTGCGACTACTAGGTAGGTCTGTCGGTTTGGCATGCAAACCGAGGCCAAGCAAGTTAAACGTGAGTGATTCTAATAATGCAAGTTGCAAACAAAATAATAATGACTTTCCAATTATAGGAGAAATTGATCAAAGGGTGACTTGCCTTGCTCAAGGTCTTCACGAAGCTTCACGAATCTCCGAGAAAACCACGATTGACGAAAATCCGGTAACCGCAACTATACGCAAACAATCGAAAACCTACACAAGACCCAAAAGAAAGATCCTATTTAGCCTAATTAATAGTGCCATTAAATAGATCTCAATTTTACGGAATTACTGGAAGTGGAACGGAGTCAATCGGATGAGCGGTTGGGAATATATGGATTTTCAAAGTTTATTGGATTTACTAATCAAAGGAAAAAGGATTTAATAATTTATTAAACCCTTTTTGGAAAGAAATTGGAGGGATGTGATTTAGACTCCCTCGGGCGGCTTGGGCGTGGCCCGAGAGGAGAGGCGCGGCTCGGCCAAACTAATGGGCCGGCCGGCCCAGAGAGGCGGCCCAAGGGGCGCGGGGAGAGTGAGGGAGAGAGAGGGCCGGTGGGCCGAGTCCACCTTGCGGGGTCCCGAGTGGGGCCCGCTTGTCGGTGGCGCGGCTCATCGTGGGAGCGGTGCATGTGGCGCGCGCTAGGGTTCGGATGGGAGTGGCGCGCGGTTTGGTGCACCGGGTGGACCGAAGGGTGGCGGGCCCACGCACAGCCGTTAGGCTTTCCGTGGACCGAGCGCACGCGAGCGGGGACGAGGCTGGCGGGTTGACTTGGTCTAGCCGACGTGGCGCCTACGTGGCGGCCGCGTCGGATGGCGAGAGGAGGAAGACGAAGGCTGGCCGAGATGGACGGCGGACAGCGGCGCGCGTCGGCGGGGCGGCGCGAGGCACGGCGGGAGGAGGGAATACCACCGGAGCGACAAGCGGATCGAGGAGGAGTGAGCCTACGGGACGGATTAGAAGGGGAAGGGCCGACGACGACGAATCGCGACGGAGGTCACCGCCTGCGAGGGAAAGAGGAAAACTCGCCGGGAGAGGAGAGGGATCGATTCACGGTGGTGGGAACATCTTCGGGGTTCAAGGAATCCGTTTCCGGCGCCTGATGGGACGGAGGAGCACCGAGGAGAGCCGGCGACGAGCGGCGGCCTCCGGGAGCGGACGGCAATGGCGGCGAGGCCATGCCGGGCGGCGGCGGGGCTCGGGGTAGCGTCCACGCGCGTTTGGGAAAGTATAGGCTAGCAATCGCGCAAGCTAGGGGGGAGGAAGAGTGGGGAGGGAGAACAGGAGCTACCGCGTCGGGAGATCGCTGGGAAGAGCGTCCGACGGCACAGGCGGGATCACCTCGGTCTCGGGCCGGGGAAGGGGAGGGAGAGAGGGCGACCAGAGTCCTCTTTGGCTCCGCGCGCACGCTGGCTTCCCGGCACACGCGATGGCGGAGGAAGGCGAGGACGGCGGCAGCAAGGCGGCGATGGCACTGCAGCGGTGGAGACTGAAGCGGGAGGGATTGAGAGGAGGGACTCGGCTTTATAGTGGAGGCGAGGTCGGTTCGCGCGGGAGGTCGGTTCAAACCGACCTTGGGGCGGTCAAGGCGGCAGCTGGCGGTCGTGCTCGGAGCTAGCGGCCAAGCGGCGGCAGAGGCGGTCACGGGCGTGACGCCGGCTAAGGAAAAAGGTGAAAAGAGGAGAGAAACGAGCTTTGCTCCCTTGCTATTTTGGGAGGAAGGAGGATATGAGAACGAGAGAGAGGAGCACGAGCTCTGTCTCCTGGTTTTGGAAGGATGCGGCATGGGGGCATCGGAACCAGGCGATGACAGTGGCGACGTCGGCAAAAGGCGAGCGGGGCTGGGTGGCTGCGCGGCGCAGGCGCGGCAAGGCGGACGGCGGCAGCGACCGGCCGGTCGGCCACGCGCGCGCGCGCGCGGGAAAGAGCGAAGGCGGTGGCGGGTTTGAACGACAAAGTGGCGGCGCGGAGCGCGGGCGAGAGAGAGCGAGAGAAAACGAGAGAGAGAGATCGGGGGAGAGAGAGAGGCGCTTTCTCTCAGGTAGGGCACGTGCAACGCACATGAGGAGGGGAGCGGGCTGAGAGGAGATGGGCCGGGGAAGAAGAGTCGGCCCACTGAGCCAGAGGGAGGTAGAATAGACTTTCACAGAGAAGGCTGATTTGGAGAGAATTGGAGTTTGGATTTGGATTCAAATTCGATATTCGAACTCGAGGGTTCAGGGAGGAATCAAGGAAGGCTCAAGATAGAGTTTGGTATTTTTCGGAATTGGGAGCGAGCGTTTAGCGAGGATTCAAAGGATGCGACTGAATTTCGGAATTTGATTTGGAGACTTGAATCGGAAGAGGAATTTGAGGTGGAGGATTTTGATTTCGATGAGAGGGAACAACGAGATTTGAAATGAGATCTTGGCACGACTTAGACTCGCACACAAAGAACGAAAATTTTCGCAATTAGGATTTTACCGAATTAGTT